TTTTAGAATATTTTGCTGAGTTTACACACCTATACAAATAACGGAACTTAACAAAAAAAGGGTATACAGATGAATGTCCATTTTGTATCTGTGTATTCAAAGTGGTTGAGAGAGATATATAGTTACATTCTGCTAATGAATAGAATGATTTGTTCTAATGGTGTTTGTAAATGGGATATCAAGTCTGCATCTTGTACAGCAATTAACCACTAAGAAGAATGTATGCAGTGTGTTAATTATTGAAACTGTCCTACTGATTTGATTTGAAACTGTCTCATTGCTATTTCTTTATCAATAAAACTATGGCAAAAAAATAAAAAATAAAAAATAAAGCAGTGTCCAGCTATACAAAAAAATTTTTTTTAAAAAAGATATGTACATTATATTTGTACATATTCCTTTCAAAGAGTGTTATATTTCAAAAGCAATAATAAAAGCAATTAGTTGTGGATTTTATAGATTAAATAGAAGGACACAAAGGTAGGGAGAGATAAGTAGAAATATACTGCTAAGTTCTTATATTGCTCAAATAATATTTCAAGGTACACTATGATTAACTTAAGATGGATGGTACCAAATCTTATATATGCTGTGTTTTCCCTGTTCTGTTCTGTATGTTCTACAGAACCATGATAACTTACGAACTAGGCACAAAAAGAGATTAAGAACAATAATGACATAGAATAGTCACAACCATATGCTGCAGTAAAACTGCTAGCATTACCACTCTTGTGCTTGGGGCTCTTATTAGGTAAAATGAGGGCTACCGTAACACAAGCGCTGTGATACTTTGACAGCTGATGTGACTAAGTGGCAAAGGCAAGCAGTGTTCAGGGTGTGGATATGTTAGACAAGGGGATGAGTCATGGTCCAGGCAGGATAGAACAGGAGGGCTAGAAATTTCATTGGCCTGCTCAGGACAATACACAATTTAAACCTTATGAATTATGTATTTCTGCAATGTTCTGTTTGACATTTTTGGGTCACAGCTGACTATGGGTAACTGAAACCATGGTCAGTAGGGAGGGGGGCCACTATATAGCTAAAAATGCCAATACAATACAAGTAAAATAGAAGACAAAAATAGCAGTTCGAAAAAAAAGGGGCTGGGGAGATGGCTCAGTAGAATAAGCGCTTCCCTAGCAAGTGCAAGGGCCTGAGTTCAATCCCCGGTTCAGCAAAAATTAAAAAAAGACAGGAAAAAAATGAAAATGCATACAAAAATATATGCCAAGATAGATTTAAATCTAGCTATATTAATAATTAAATCCAGTGGGCTATAACATCAATTAAAAGACAGAGGTTGTCAAAGTAGATTTTTAAAAAAGGAAAGGTCCAACTATCTGCAGTTTATAAGAAATTACAGAAAATAAAACAATAGAATGTATATACTATTCAGATATGAGCATTAGAAAACTGACTGTTTATATTAATCACATAAAGTAGACTTCTAAATAAAGTTCATTACCCAAGAAAAGAAATTTCATAATGATAAAAGCATTTATTAAAAAGACATAATAATTCTTAATAATAAAGCTGTGAAATGTACAAAACATAAAATGACAGAACCAAAGGGAAAAGTAGACACCTGTACAATGTCATCAGAGATTTTTCACATCTTCTTTTTGTGTGAATGCCTACTTCATATTTTTGCCAATTACACCTTTCACTAAATCTATGTAGTTAAAAATGAAATGCAAGTTTTTCAAAATTTCTTTTAATTGGTGTAAATCTTACATAGGTAGATAGCATATCTAATTTCTTTTTGCCTGATGTGTCTGTAATTCATTTTTCCTTAAAAGCTACCTGGGGCCGGGGAGATGGCTCAGTGGAATAAGTGCTTCCCTGGCAAGCACAAGGGCCTGAGTTCAATCTCTGGTTCTGCCAAAAAAAAAAAAAAAAAAAAAAGCTACCCACTCATTTCGAAAAGTAGGGAAAGAAACCTGGCTTCTTTGACATGTTTGTGTTAATTTCCTATGTGCCAAATTAGCACTATTTAAAATTCACCAGTTATTTCAACTATTCATTTTAAACCTTGTTTTTATCAATGAAGTATAATTCAGTTTTGTCCATTTTTACTACTAGCTTGGTAACCAGGTCAATAAGTACAGTATTTTATTTGTTTTTCTTTTTATTTTATTGGTATGTCTGCCATTTTTGTTTAATAAGCATTTATAAAACATTTACTGTATGTAATATCAACAATTGATTCTCATAAAAATACACCCTTGACTTGTTACAGAGCTAAAAGTTGGAAGCTCTCTAGTTGATCCTTTCATGTTGGTTCCATTCACCAAATAATATTGTTCTTAAATGAAGTTGTTCTTTCTCCTTAGACTTTTTTCACGAAGGCTTCTATTTTAGCATTTATAATGTTGTAAGTTTTTATATGTCAGTTTTCCAGTTTAAACACTGAGCTGCGTGAATTTGTTCACTTTTGTAGCCCCCTGCATGTATTGTACAAAAATGCTTTGCTTGCTAGAAGACGGATACGTGGACACAATAATGAACAAATATCAGATGTCTGTGACTAAACAATTCTGTAAGGCACTGTTGGACTGGAAAGTAGTCAGGTCACTTTGTGTAATAAAGCAAAAGTAATATGCCCTTGAATTTTGATGCTCTTATAAAGTTTTTCTGAAGATCAGCTTATAGAACTTCCATGGAGTATGAAGTGTCATAGTGCAGGGCACATGCTATCTAAAAGAGAAGCAGTATCATGTATCTGAGCCAGCACTGGTTCCAGATTAAACTGTTTTCTTGCCAAAAGGGTCATTGCTAAGATCTCTTTAATATTTAGCCCATATATATGTGTTTAGGTATGAAGATACTTACATTGAAGTCAGGAAACAATGGGGAATCTACTTTTCATTTTAGACCTTTCATACTTCTTAGGGACTTGCCACTCATAATTATTTTTAGTAAAACTTATAGTGTTATATGTCCATTAACTCTTAAATAGTTTGGTCATAAAACTTGTAGTTCTTGGATTAAACTTGTTCTTTCTTTAGACTTTATAGAAAGTGCCTTAAGTGTCTCAGTCTCCGTAGGACTCCGTAAGAATCTCTAGTCCAGGGTTTTACTTAAAGAGTTCTAATTTCTATGTTGATATTTAATTACATAAACAATATGTCACAATGTCCATGAAAAACAGTATGAATGCTTTAATAAAAGTTTAATAACAAGGTAGAGTGAGTTAGTATAGGAAGATTTTCATATGCTTTTACTATATGGCATTAAGCTTTTTCTTTTCTCTTCCAGGGTGCTCTGGAACAGAGCTCAAATTCTCAGTTGATGGCTGTTCAATATACAGAAACCACTAGTATCAGGTAAGAAAGTATAGAAGGTCTTGACCACAGAATTTCAAATGGCATATATTTTAGTAAAGTTGAAATTCACACTTCCCTTTTACCCTATCTATGATTTTTGTTATATCATATAACATATGCTAATTTTGAATATGTAGTTGGAATAGAGCTAAATGATTTCAGAACATCAGTCTTCCAGAATACTTTAACTACATAGAGTGCTGTTCAGTCATAATTTTGTTAAAAATCTTAAATAAACTTAGATCTCTTTTTCTTGCTTTGCATCTATTTCCTAAGCCTACAAGAGGGGAATGCTGTTTTTTGACTGTTCTCTGCCAGGTGTTTTGCTTTATATCCAGTTTATCTTTAAATGCATAGAATAATTTGAAGTGTACTTTGTATGTGAAAAAAACTGGACAAATCATTAATCTGATGTAATTTTCAGTTATAGAACCAAGCAGCAGAATCAGAATTCAGATCCTAGCTGTTTGACTTAAAATTTATTTTTTTACTGCAAAATACTATTTAAGATTTTGAAAGATTCCAGCATACTTAGATGTTTAAATGTCTTCTAAAGACATATCTAAATAAAAGGAAGATAATGTGGGAAGTAATGATAGTGTCCTGATTAAGAGTCTACTTCTAAAGGTTATCAGAATTCAAATCATTACTGTGCCATGTAACTTGCTCTGTGGTTCAGGCAGGACAATGTAACTGAAATTTAGTTCCTGACACAATTCTGACAGCATAGACTTACTGTAATGGCTAAATTAGGTACTGTATTTCAAGCACTTAGAAGGGCATTTGGCATATATTAAGTGCTCTATTAAGTGCCAAGTGATGATGTGGCAATATTGACAACATTGTCTTGGAAGTGCTGCAGCTCTGCTGCGGACTGACAGTTCACTATGTAATGTTAGTTTGTATTTACTGAGGGCCTACTGTGTGCCAGATAGTGTTCCAGGCACTGAGGAAAATGTATGTATGTGTGAACCTGTAAGTTGAAAGCTATTTTGTTCATTATCTTATTGCAAATTCAATGGCAGTGAGCAGCATATTGGTAATTGTGAAAGTTTGAAATACTGAGATTATGTTACCCTGTTGAAATGGGCAATTTAAATATATTTATGTCATAACTAGCAATTCTCTACTATCCAGAATTCAATTACTGTGTAATTATTTTTTACAATATGTGTCAGTTTTTGATGTATGATTATGATGGAATAGTGTTTCTTCATTAGTTAAAAATGTTTTTAATGATTTATAGTTAGTCCTCATTCATGGATCCAAATAATATTCATAAATTCTGTACCTGCTAATCTGCCTGCTTACTAAAATGTATTTGTAACCCTAAACTCAACACTTTGAATTTTTGTGGTCAATTACAAGCATGCATAAAACAAAGTTGCCACAAATAGTAAGAGCTGTATTTCTAAAATATTAGCATAAGGAAATGGGATTATGTCAAAAGGAGGTTTTATGACTTATCACTTCTTTCTAGGCTGATGTTATTCATCTTTTAAGTTAATGATGTTTTTTTGATATATAAACATTTTCTCTTTGGAGAAAAGCATTTGATCTTTTTAATTCTTCTGGATATTGATTTATTGTGCTCAATACTAACATTAAAATTTTAAGGAGTATATTTGTATTACTTGAGTATCTTTTTAGGTATGATATAGTTTTGAGGTATTATCATTTTAGTTTTTATTTTAATTTTAGTTTAATATTTATTAAGGTAGCCACATGGCTTTTTTCATGTCACTTGCTACCAGGTATAGAGTGATGCCTTTCCATGTAACATCTCTGATACCAGTAAAAATTCTGCAAGGCTTATGTGATTGTGTTGTTGAGGAGGAAGGTGAGTTTCCTCAGAGGGGTTGCTGTCCCTTAGAGGACCCACCTAAGAAGTGGAGTGGAATGAGAGTTCAAAGCCCGTTTTTAGCCTCTAGGATTTTCTCCATCATTCACACATCCTCATAGGCAGCCTTGCCTTCACGTATTTGACAGAGTGGTGAAAAGTGAATTTTCCACAGATTTGGTTTTTGTTATAAACATTTAACAAATTGTGTAAACTCATGTAGAAATTTTTATGTCTATGCTAGCCTCCTGCTCATGGGGTGTGCTGAGACAGGGATTGACACTGGGCGTGGTGGCATGTGCCTGTAATCCCAGCGCTTAGGAGGCTAAATATAGGAGATTCACTAGTCTATGTAGTGAGACCCTGTAGACCTTGTACTAACCACATAAAAAAAGAAATTTTTATGTCTAAATATTTTATGACTTTTACATGTTTTACAGTGCACTTTACTATTATATTTTAGAACCTTGATTCAGAAATGAGAATTTTGATTTTAGCAAATTAGTTCTTATAAATGTCCTTGATCTTGGGCTAAAATGTTATTTAAAAACTTATTGCCATATTGTCTCCCTAGTGTAAGAACCTGGAAGAGTAAATAAAATCTGAAAGGTACAATAAAGAAAAGGTTCAAAGGGAAGGAACAATGGGGATGAAGGAAAGGAGAAAAGAAAGCAGGGAAGAAAGAAGAAATATATATGTATGTGCACAGGATAGCTTAACCGAACTGCTCATTTCTACTGATCTACTGAAAGAAGCAGTTGTTGCTTAATTTTTTTCTGTCTCTTTTTCAATTTTTTTATCTCCTTTTTACTTTTTATAATTTTTGATCAGTATTACATGCTTATATCTGGTAATCTCAGCAACTGATTTGAAGACAACAGTGTGAAATACAACAATCGTTGTTGAATTCCTGTAATTTTGTTTAGTGAAATTCTGTATTGTTTCTAATTTTTTGAATTATTTTTCTCTTTAAAAAAACTAAAAAATAAAAATGTACTGCAGAAAAACAAAACTTACTGACAGGTATCTGCACTTGCATGTTTATTGAATCCCTATTTACAGTAACCAAGAAATGGAAACAACCATAAGTGTCCATCAATCTGAAGAATGGATGGAGAAAGTGTGCGCGCGTGTGTGTGTGTGTGTGTGTGTGTGTGTGTGTGTGACAATGGAATATTATCCAACCATAAGAAGGATGGAAACCTGTTGTTTGGGTCAGGACTGAACCTGGAGCGTATATATCAGGCACTGAAAGACAAATACCACATGATTTCCTTCACATGTGGGATCTAAAAACGTTTTTTTTTTTTTTTTTTTTTTTTTGTGAAACCAGGGATTGAACTCAGGCCCTTGTGCTTGCCAGGGAAGCACTTGTTCTACTGAGCCATCTGCTCAGCCCCCTTAAAAAAGTTGATCTCATAGAGTAGTATAGTGGTTACCAGGGCCAGAGAGAGCAGTGGGGAGGGAATGGTAGGGGAAGGTTAATCAGTGGGTTCTAACTTACAGTTTGATAGAAGTTCTGGTTTTCCTTTGCACAGTTGGATCGCTACACATGATGATAATGCACTGCATATTTCAAATGTTTTTGGTATAACTAAATAATAAATGAGTAGATAAGGATGCTTTCTCTGAGCTTAATATTATACAGCATATACATGTATTGAAACACCACATCATATCCCATAAATATATATATTTTTATGTGTCGATAAAAGCAATAATTAAATGAATTTTAAATAATTACCAAAATGCTGTTTGAAAGAGATTTTTAAAATTAATACATGACCTTAGCATGGGAAGAATTTTGGGGAGACATGGAACTTCTTTAGTTAGTAATGATGCTTCACTTTTTTCTTACTTTAGTAGGAACTCGGGGAATGAGTTACAAGTATATTACGCTCCACCTGGAAGTTATCAAGACTTCTTTGAAGCTATTCGCAGAAGGGGAGACACATTTTATGTTGTGTCATTTCGAAGGGTAAGATTATTTTGAAAGAATAAATATTTCTGAGTGCCTGATGTGGAAAGGCATTGGGCTGCCCGCTGTAGAAGATATAAAGGTATGAGAGAGGGAAGCAGTGTGAAATAGGCCGGAAGCCACTGGGCGTAGGTGCTTGACCTTGAGCCGCTCAGCATTATGACTGTGAGCATGGAATTGATGTCAGGCTATGACTGTATTTAGAAAATACAAACTGTGTCTTGATTTTTATTCTTTGATGTTTCTGTAGCCATATTCTTTACAACCAAACAAAAGTCAAAACATCAAAATTTCTAATTTAAATTTTTTTGTTAAATTCCCATTTTGTTGTTGAGAAAAAAACTTGTGAAATATAAATTTAAGATAAATCATGGGCTGATTAATATGTTAATGTAGAGTGTTGAGAGCTGGGTTGCTAAGATTATTTTTTTCTTCATCAAACATTTACCTTTTTTGGTGAAGAATGTCAGATCATGCAGACATAAATGTTTATACTAGCACTTTACGTTGTAACAAGTGTTAGACTAAGTGGAAAAATTCATAGTTATTTACATTCCATCTTTTCCTATAAAGTGACAATATATTCTTCATAGAATTGCCATGTGAATATATGTGTTTTCAGTGCTATTGTGTTAAGCCATAAGTGAGTTAACCATAAGTGAGTTAGAATTCTTAGGAGCTTTTATCCTAAGCCTTTTCTTTAAAAACAAAACAAAAAACAAAAACCCAACAACAACAACAAAACATAAGGGATATATGACTAGAAATAAGCGTACACTGACAATATAACAAGTAACATTCTCTGTTACTGTTACTGTTACCACTCATTATCACTGAAATCCTCAGCTAACTAGTTAACTCCTTTCCTAAACTACTTGGCAGCTCAAGATTTGACTACTGGAAAATTTTGTGCTTGAATGTTTCTATATTTTCAGTTATTAATCAAATGTAGTAGGAGGTTCAGAATACTTTAGCTGTGGCATCTTATGATCTCTGCCTTTTCACAAAGTCCTTGTGCTCACCTTTCTTTCTAATTGGTATATTTCTATACTATACCAACCTCAAAGTTAGTTTTTAGAAGCAGAAGGGGAAGCTTAAAATGGGGTTTTGGCAAGTCTTCAATTGTGTTATCTGATGAGAACTAAGTGTTGATTTACTTTTGATGTACAAAAGTCATGTTTAAAGTGGGAGTAGAGAGAGGAGAGGGTTATAAATTTCAAAAAAATTGAGAACCTAGCCAGGTGAGGTGGTACTTGTAATCCTGGCACTCAGCAGGCTGAGATAGGAGAGTCACCATGAGTTTTGAGGTTAGCCTGGGCTATCTAATGAGTTCAAGTCCAGGCTAAACTACATAGAGACCCTGTCTCTAACAGACAAAAATGGGCTCAGTACTATGTAGAGACCTGTTGCCTATTAAATGTGTTGAAATGTATGTTATAGAAATTATTTCAGAACAATATTTTTTAACACTGAAATAGTCAAATAGTTTTTCCTACTTTTTTTTTTTAAATAGCTCATGATACCTTATTATTTGAGCAATACAGTATAATATATAGCAGAAGTAGCAGTTGTGAAGCCATGGATTGAAGTCATGGTTAGGAATGTTTTTCTTGAAAAAGAGCAAGTATCTTTTTTTTTTTTTTTTTTTTTTTACAGAGAAAATAATCCTACCTTCTAAGAGACTGTATTTTTATTAAAAGGTTGAATTTTTCTTTAAGTGCATGAATTACATTTCTAAAAAGCAATTTCTACTCAGTTCACTGTTTAAAATCAAGAAAGTAAGGTTAAGGACTGGGGTGATAGCTCGGTCTACTAAGTACCTGCTCAGGCAGATGCAGGGGTCGGGGTTCATTCCCTGGTACCACATGCTGTGCGGGCCCTGACCCTGGGCAGGCTGAGCTGGCCACCAAATCCAGGTGTGGTGGAGAATGCCTGTAATCTCAGCGCTGGAGAGGCTGAAAACAGGAAGGATCACTGTGAGTCTGGGCTGCGTAGTGAGACCTGGTACCAAATACGTTAAAAAAAAAAAGAAGTGCAGATAAAACTGAACTTAATTAGATAATAGTAGTGACTAGACAACATCCTTTTTCCATGTTTTTACAGTAGGGAAAAGGAAGCTAAGTTTACTGCACTGACTATAAACTATGTCATGAGACAGGAATTTGGTTCCTAAATACGTGGATTGTTCTTTCTGCTTTCAATAAAATGAAAATGAAAGAGGTAATGAATTACCTCATGCTCAGTCTCATAATTCGTCTTTTTTTCTATCTTCCAATGTGAAATACTCTTTTCATCACAAAGCAAGTGGCATCATTTCATGTGCAGGAGAATATAGAATTTTTTCTCTCAGGTTCTTAATTTCATTGACAGAAATTATTGTATTAGAAATTCAGAGCTTTTGAAACCCTAAGTTTCGTATCTGGTATATGTCATACATGTACATACATATACCAGATATGTATAACAGAAACTCTCAATAAGCAAGTCATATTGTTTTCTTTTATAACTGAATATACATTTAATACATTTTTTATTTTAATACCTGAAAATTGGAGGTAGCCACTGACATTCAGTGTATCATTATTTAATGAACCAACTGTGTCCTTAACTTATTCTCTTTCATACCACACATTCCTGTACCCTTTAACACTCGTTACATTTGAGCTGCTGACATTTTCTCTAAAGCAGACATCCTGCTGGATGACTACTGAGTTCCTGTTGTAGGCCAGCAAGGCAGAATGCTTGTCATTCCAGAAGCCTTGACAAAAGCTCAAAAGGTTTTCTGTTCTTTTCATTTTAAGAGTTTTTAACTGCAGCACAGAAACCTGTTATCTCTCCATTGAATTCCAAGTGTTCATTTTAGTATGATTTGGATGGTGTAGGGATGGAGAATAACCTTTTTTCAAACTTCCAAGTCATTTTGAATGTGTTATAATTGATATATGGGTAAGAAATAATCTAAGTAAGTTCCCTGTTTGGCTTTTCTTCATGCATTTGTGTGGTAGCCTATTTAAGGGAGGGAGAGGTTAAAGAATGTAACAAAATGAATCCAAGAGCGTGGGATAGAAACAGACACACAGGAAAGCTCAAGTAAAAGTAGGCAAAAAATTGATTCAAAAGAGAAAGAAAAGAAAACATGGAAAAGTCTGGTGGGGAAATAGTACTAGTCTATCTGTTATGCCAATAAACATTGAAATACCATCCTTAGTAGCTTCTTTCTCACTCAGTGATATTTAGAGAAAGATTTTTAAAGTCTCCTTGAGTGAGATTCCTATTAAAAACAAGTCCTAAAAAAATAAATAAATAAATTAAAAACAAGCTCTTTTTGCTTCATTTGGCCTGAAAGCCATAGCCTTATTATCCTCACTCATGTGAGACTTCTCTTTCAAATGAGATGGGTGCCTGCTTTTAGAACACTTTAAACTTATTTTATACTATTTTCTATTTTCAATACCTACCTCTCACATCAAAAGTAAACACTTTATCTGCTTTAAATATGTGGATAGTTGGTAAGAGGAAAAACCCGAGCTGCAGTTACTTACCTGATTCAGATATATTTTTCTCTTTCTTTTCATGTATTTTATGTTTTTGAGATATAGTATCTTATCTGGATATTTCACTTCTTGGCCACTTATAAAATACATATTAGCATACCATGTATATGTTATGGATTGTAAGGATAACAGTAAGAAATAGGAACTTATTGTAAGATATGTGAGAACTAAAGAAGCACAGGAAACAGGCTCGGCAGCTAAGCAGTCCCTTTGTGGCTGTGCTCTGTAAATGGGAGTATTCATTGGTCCTCATGGAGAGTTAAAAGAACAACTGTGATTCCTGATTTAGCAGCAGCTCCAGTCAGCCATATTAGTCTTTTTTACGCATTGCTGATTAAAACTCTCCAAATAGAAAAAGGATCTAGTTGGATAGTTGGTCATTACCTCATATGAAGAACTGCTATGGTCCATTCATTTGTGGTGAGGGAAACAGGGCTGCATTCGTTGAGTGAGTATCCTTGCTTTGTAAGTCAGCAGTTTTACATAGAAGGAAGAGCCTAGGCTGCTTTTGGGAGACAATGCTTGTGATGAGCCCTTGAACCTTCGTAAATATGATTCCACAAATGTATTATATATATTTTTTCCTTGCATTAATTCCTAGTTGTTTGATCTAAAAGGCTCATCAGGGCTCGCCAGATAGCTCAGCAGATTAAAGCACCTGCTTAGGCAGATGCAGGGACCAGGGTTTGATCCCTGGTGTGCAGTGCCAGCCCTGCCCCTAGGGCATGCTGAGTCTTAGATTGAGACTGGGTGTGGTGGTGTGCACCTGTAATCCCAGCGCTTGGGAGACTGAAAACAGTAGATTCACTACAAGTCTGATCTATATAGTAAGACCCTGTAGGCCTTGTACTAAATACATTTAAAAAAAAAATAAAAGGCTCATCACATCTATATATTACAAACCTTTTAAGGGTGAGATGTGTCAGATGCTCTTTCATTACCACTCTTGACACTCAGCACAGTGCCTTCCTAACAGAACCATTTTAGGTTTGTTTCACTCAGTGAGGTCACAGAGATAGAAGTTTTTTTTCATGATCACTAAAGGGTATGTTTACATTGTTTTGCTTAAAGACATGTGAATCTTTTTCGGTCATCCAAAAAGTGACATAAGTAGTGCTGTGTCAAGCAGAAAATTTAGCTGCAACAACTTACCTCGCTTTTGTCATTTATGGTTGTGTTAGCCGGAGATATATCAGCTTTATTTCTTGTCTCTAAATCTAAGGTTTACAATTAAAGAAATCACTTAGTTGAAATGTTTAACAAGTTTTCTATGTCAGTAGGTAGAACTTTGAGGTACTTCCTCCAATTCTCGTTTTTTTTTATACTTGGGTGAAGCATTCTGGAATAGATTATTAAGGGATGATGTCTAGTGCCCGTACACATTCAAGCAGGATAAGTCAGAACCTTGAAACTTTGGACAAACTACAGGAAATGCTCTGGTTACTG